CTTAAAAAACTGGATACAGCATATTGTTCCACACCCTGAGTTTGATTATTAAAAGAAAAATTTAAAACCTTGTTCAAGAATCGTCCCATGTGGCCACCTGAATTGGTTTTATATTTAAGCTACAAAAAAAAAATGTGTACACACACAGATACACTCATACATACCACCTCATCAGAACATTTTACAAAACATTTTACTGTAAAATATAATACTTCTAGCACATGTGACTTTTGACTCTTAGAAACAGTATTAGATTGTATAAGTACTGAATATTTCATAGAAAATTATACATTTATCGCATAGATTTTTTAAAAGATCAGTGGGGAAACACTTAAAGTCTTTTACCTTGAATATTTCTCAACCAAAAGGGCAGCAGCAGGTTGGGGGGTGGAGAAACTAGAAACCCTAGAATATTTCTGCATGTCTTTTATGATCAAGAGTCACAGTGATGACTTGGTGAGCCTTGGAGCTCACTTTGCAGAGATAGCAAAGCATGTGTTTCCCATGATCTAAGAACACAGAAGATTGTGTCCAATTGCTACACTTGTATAGACGATGACCCAATAAGCTGGGCACAGTGAAAAGCTGCTTCTTTACCTGCAATCAGTATATCCTCTGCTAAAATAAGTGATGTCCCTGAAGCTGTGCTAAAAGGAATTGGTATTAACGAGTAAGTAGAATCAGAGAGAAACCAAAAGGAGTGGAATATTAATTTGTTGTGTTTTTTACTGATCAGTTCTCAGAATTTCAGGTGAATGTGTAGTTGTGGTTTCTCTTTCCCCACCAATGCTATTTGCTAAACTGTCTTTTGGTTACATTGGAGACAAGACTCAACTGCCAAGGAGATGAGTTGACTGTAGACAGAGGTCTTTTGCCTTGTTTGGTTTCAATTTGATTGCTCCTCACACATCTCTTCAGTTAATTCTTATTTTCTTAGCCATGAGAAGAATTGTCTGTAGTTAGAAGCAGATTTATCTGCCCTGCTATAAACACAGTAGATGGAAGCACAACTGCTTCCACCATACTGAACTTTGGGATATTTGGCCAAAAATTGCAAAGTTTTATATCATTGAATTAGAAATACATAACAAAAAAAACATAACAAAAAACCCTGTGACTATTGATCATAAGGACATAGTTCAAGCCAAATCCCTAGGTATAGATCTAGGAGATTGTTACTAAAAGTGTCTATTATCTCCCTTTAATGAAGTCCTTTAAGAGAAAGTTCTTGAGAATAGTTCCATGGGGGAGAGAAGAGAGATCATGCTGCAGATCAAGGAGAGTGGAGTCCATACCTCCTTCCTTCTGGCATAGTGGTGGTAGATTCTTTTTCAAAGCTTACAAAGTCTTTTTTACTGTCGTCCTTCCTTTGCCAGAAGGTCACTGATGTCTTAGTTGGAACTCATGCTTGGTTCCCCCACCCCCTTCCCTTTGCCGAAGATACCTTCCAGAAAATCACTTCAGGAAAATCTTTGGGTGAAGCATGCTCTGTTTACCCACAACAGTCAGACAGTCCTTGCCTGCTTTTGTTTCCCTTCGCTTTCTCAGTGTACATGTGGTGCTGTGCTTCCAGAAGGTTCTATGATTTCAGACCATGGTGTAGCTAAAAGTGTACCTGTAACTCGCCCTGGTGCACACACTGCCTACAAGTGCAAAAACTGATGACATATTAATATACTCATCTTTCATAGAGTGTTTGGGGAGCATGATTCTTTTTAAGTGAAGCTTTCAAGATCAGCTTCAGCTTTTTAAACTTTTCTAAAATGACTTTGTCTTCAACGTTTTGTCTGTTTTGCATTTTGAAGTGATAATGAAGGAGTGTGTGAAATTTCTATATTTCAAGGAGGGCAGTGTGTGTGTGTGTGTGTGTGTGTGTGTGTTTTAATGACATGATGCTTCATGAACATTGCCTGCGTTATGTGGAAGTAGAAACATGCAGAAATTCAGTGTAACTTAGGCCAGTGAACGTCACAGAGGGAAGGGGAGCAGCCTGGCCACTGGACCTACTTCATAGACAACTCTAGTTGAGACAGGAGAAACATTAGGGGAACCAAATGGCCCATAAACTTTGAGGAGCTAAAACAGCATTATCTTAGCTACTCTTCTGTTGCTATGATAACACACCATGACCAAGTATCTTGTATAGGAAAGAGTTTATTTGGGTTTGTGATTCCAGGATTATTGATGGTGTAGGGAAGACATGGTTGCAGGTACAAGAAGCTGGTGCTAAACACAAACCACAGTCAGAGAATGAAAACTGAGAATGCCATGAGTTTAAAACTGTTGTGTCCAGATTACGACCCCCAGAGAGAGACCACCAGAGAGGCCCAGACTGTAATAAGCAAGGTTTAATCAGCATAATACAAACATGTGTGGAACTCCTCTCCATCCCCGTTGTAGTGAGACAGAGAGGAGTTGTACATCCTCTGTGGGGTGAGCTTTTAAAGGCTACAAAGAGACTCTTTGAAGCTGCTTTAGTAACAGGTACAAGGACTTTTGCTCCTTCCCATCCTTCTAAGTCAACTTTCTCCTTGTTCTTAGAGCAAGGCCACTGTTCCTGAGTTAGGCCATCTTTATCAGCCTGTACCAGGTGGCTGGCTGGGTTGAGCTAAGCGACCTTGTGGGAGAGGGGAAGGCCACTATCTTCTGGGGAAACATTCTGCTAGGAAATTTCTTCTTGACCCTTTGAGAATAAGGGGTGAGGGTCCTACAGAAACCTTAAAGATTGCCCCCAGTGACATACTTCTTCCACCAAGGCTATGCTACCTAAAGAGTGCCATCAACTGGAAACCAAGTATTCAAACATCTGAGCCTGTGGAGGGCATTCTCATTCAATACCACAATCCGAAAATGGGCGTTGCTGCTCATGTGACACAAGCTGCTCTAAGAGGGTAGTAGAAGTAAAGGCAGGGGACAGCACCCTGGTGAGAGCCACACTGCTCTGAAGGGGATAACGCTTTCTTTGTACCTGAGCCAGAGGGTCTGGCATGATGCACAGGACAGTCTTTCTCCTCTTTGGTTACATGTGAAAATCTCATGCAGGGCTGCTTTCTGTGCTGAGAACTAGAGGCCTTAACTCAAGAGGCTTTTAGCTTACGCATCTGATTAAGGCCTGTGTATACACCAGGTAGTTGGGTAGCTACACTTTGTGATATATGAATATGTATAAAGTGTATATTTGTGTGTGTGTCTGTGTGTGCATATGAGTGAACCAGAAGAGGATGTTAGGCATCCTGCTTTATCATTCTTTACCTGTTCCTTTCAGATAGAGTCTCTTTTCATTCAACCTGGAACTCAACCTCAGGACCTTGGGTCCTCAAAGCTTGCTGTGTTCCTAATTCTTTCATGAAAGAAATAGCCCAGAGACCTTTAACTCAGCCCCTTATGTGGGGTCATAGCCAGGTGTGACATCAAGGAGAGTTCATTTCCTTCCTGCTGTGAATTATAATAGTGTCAGTCTCCTTGTCTATACAGGCATAGTGACTACCTTGTCCTCCGATAATTAAGGCACTGTGTGTTTAGGATAGAGTGTGCAAGAAACCCCTGTTATTATTCTCTGCATACCTTGGGAGTCTGCCTTCTCTTACCAACAAGATGTTCCAAGGTCCACATTCACTTCTACCTATCTTCCCCGCCCCCCTTTAAAGTTGGGAGCTCAAACTCTGTGTAGCTGAGGATGACCTTGAACTTTTGACCCTCCTAAGTGCTGGGGAGACAGGTATTCACCAAGGTCAGGTGCATCTAAGGAGGCTAAGGCCTCACACTTGTCAGGCAAGCATTCTCTTCATTGAACATAGTCCTGTCCTGTACTGTTTAATTCTCTTGGTGGAACCAAACATGGAGGCTGATTTCAAAAGCTGGGGAGGGGGCTTGTAATTAACTAGCCCAGTTACAGTGCACTCCTCATCTGTCTGTGATTTTATGTCCTCTGCAGATTCTGCCTCAACCTTTGATTTGTAATTCATGGCAGTGCAATTCTGTAAGCCTTACTTCTTGCACTTATAGGCTCGGGAGTGTGTACAGCTAACCCTAAAGTGACTTTGGGTTAAATAAAATAGCAGTTATCTGTAAGGACATCAAATGTCCTTGACAGAGACAAATCCCATGCAGCATGGGCAGCACAGGTGAAACACATAGTGTGTGTGATTCATACCTTGATGGTACAGTTTGGAATCTCAGCCTGGACTGGGCTGCAAGCAAGGCAACTTGGGTTGTGGACAAACAGAAGTGCATTTTAGCCAGTCAGGGAGATGGAAGCCACTGAGACAGCTGCACTCAGGCTGGATCAAACAAAAAGGAGTGGCAGCCTTGTGTCTCTGGAATTACTAATAGTCAGCATGCATTGGTATATATATGTATGTCAGTATATATATGTATGTCAGTATATATATATAAGTACACACACATATGAGTACACACACATATAGATATATGCTAATTGCCTTTGCAAAGTGGTGGTTTTTTTGAATTGTAAAAATTAAAACAGAAACCCAATCAGTCAGCCTTAAGATCATATGCGTATAAGTAACTTTATACAGGCAGAGGCGGCTTTCCTTGGGAAGTGATGCTTTCAAAACAGGGTTTGGAAGATGACTTTAGGTGTTCTTAAGAACTTCACTTTATTCCCCCTTTTCCGTTTGAGCTCTTCTATATTCTCAAGCTCCCACATCTCAGACTTTCCATTCCTCCTTATTCATACATGTTATGTGACTTCTTGTTAAGAATGTTCATTTTCAAATATGTCATATGGAGAAGAAGGCATGTGTTTAACTAGGAACAGTATTAAGAGTGTCTTTGTCTAATCAGTCTTATTTTTATTACCATAATACACCATCCTGTTCTCACTTTTTTCCCATTTTAATATGTACTGAATTATCACTCACAGTCCATCTGCTTTCCTGCTAAGCAGTGGGATTGTGTCAAGAGCCTGGGGAGGTAATGCTGGGGTTCCCGGAGGTAAGTTTGCTAAGCTGATGCTTCCTTGGTCTCTTCTCCGCTAGATGGGAAGCCCGTGTCTCTGTCTCCCCTGGAGTCCCAAGCCCACAGTCCCAGGTACACTGCCTCAAGCCAGCGGGAGAGGGAGAGCCTGGAGGTTCGTGTCCGAGAGGTGGAGGAGGAAAACCGTTCACTGCGCAGGCAGCTCAGCCTGGCCCAGGGTCAGGGCCCTGCTCAACGCCGTGGGAACCACTCCAAGACCTACTCCATGGAAGAGGGAACAGGAGACAGTGAGAACCTGCGGGCTGGCATCGTGGCAGGCAACAGCTCTGAGTGTGGACAGCAGCCAGTTGTGGAGAAGTGTGAGGTGAGGAGCACAGGCATTGGGGGAAGTGGCTACTCAGAGTCCGTGTTACTGCTTATCCCTGCAAATGCCTCCTGGACACATTACCAGGGCCCTACAAAGAGGTGGATTTCTTAATTCAGAGCAAAACCAGATTGATCATAAAACTTTGCTGAATGGGCACAAAGACTCTTAATCTCATTGTTTCTCAGTTTCTCCATCTGATAAACAGGGATAAGAAGGCCTACTTCACAGAAGCATTATGGATGCAACCGATCTCTGGTTTCTTTGTGTTTCATTAGGAAATGCTCAGGTTTTCACACCCTGTCTTCATCCTGGGAACTCAGTTCTTTACAGTGTAGAACGGCTCATCCAGAGATATGGTTGCATTATGTAGTTAGTTACTTTGTGTTTCATTAGGAAATGCTCAGGTTTTCACACCCTGTCTTCATCCTAGGAACTCAGTTCTTTACAGTGTAGAATGGCTCACACAGAGATATGGTTGCATTATGTAGTTAGTTACTTTGGCCCCATTCCCTTTTCTGTGTATGAACAGTCTCTGCAATTCAGAACTAGAGTGCTAGTGCCTATCAAAAGCCCCTCTTTGAGGTTTCATATCTCAGGACTATTTTCTTCCTGGAATGTACTTCCTTTCTTAGTTAACCTATGGAATCTTGCAATTCTTATCCATCTTTCTGTAATGTGCCTGTCAGACTCAACCTCCTTTTTACCATGTGTATATGTACATGCGCACATGCACACTCACACACACACACACACGTGCACGCGCGCACACACACACATTTCCTACTTCTTCTGGTTCTTACTGTGTAGGTGAGTTAGGCAAGTACTTGCTAACAGCAAGGGTGAATAAGAACTCAGCCGTGGTAGTTTCTGCTTTGAGTACTTGAGCACTTTGCCTAACTTCTTGGAACTCATGGGTGCCTCAGCAGTGAACATCTAAGGCTGATTTTTATGAAATTTTGGAGGCTATTAAAGTGATGGCTAATGCCAAAGATACTTAGTGTGCTTTTAGTTAAAGTAATTAGTATTCTTTTTAGCTAAGTACAGATAATACTGGCTGGGTTTTCTTTTGCTGTTTCCTAGGATAAATAACATTAAGCTTTATCCACACTGAAGTCATAGCTCTTCATTTTAAGTTTAAGCTATAGCATCTGCGCCATGAATGGATTTATTAATGATATTGGCAGTACCATCTGTATGTCACATGGCAGGAGGGCTTATTAAGTAATGAAGATGAAGATGGACTTGTATAGAAATCTAATATCAAGAGAGGAGAACTTAAACAAGAAATGAAAATGAGAGGATTACAAGTCTAATTGAAACATGCCCTAGTGAGAGGTATCTAGAAGTTGGCTATTCTGTTTTGTTTCTGTTGCTGTTATTTAAAAAAAAAAATTAGCCTGACAAAAGCAACTATAAGAGAAATTATTTCTTTGGCTCACAGGTCACAGTCCATAAATGGAGAAAACAAGGTGCCAGGAACTTGATACAGTTAGATATATCCATAGTCAAAAACAGAGAGAATGTATGGTTCTTATGTTTCACCCAGTACATGAAATTGAATGCAGTATACTGCATTCAAGATGGGTCTTTCCATCTCAATTAAGAAAACCCCTTAGTAGTTCCAGGACAGGCTCCAAAACCACAGAGAAACCCTGTCTCGAAAAAAAAAAAAAAAAAAAAAAAAAAAAAC